TATTATTATTTACATGAATATACAGTATAAAAATGAAATGTGAGAAATTTTAAGTAGTCGTAATAGACAGAAGGGCTTTATAATATTTTAATGAAATCTTGATAATTGAATTCCTCTCATTTTGCTTTATCGATTAAAAAAAATCATCAAAATCGGAGTCATAGAAGCCGAGATATTGAACGCGCGATTTCAATTCCTATAATTCATCGCCTCCCCTTGGTTTTGCGGCACAAATGGTCGGCTTGGCGATATTCATTGAATTTTCATAAAAAAAGCACACGTGCGATCATATTTATAAAAACACATAGGGAAAGTTCTTAAAAAAACCTACCAAATTCAATTTTTATTGTTGTTACATTATACACAGTTTTGCAGCAAGCGCTTGTCGACTTTGACACTCTATATCTCGGAACTTATAGGACCGATTTGAACGTTCTTTTTTTCAAGTTAAGCGTCTTTCCGAGAACTGTTTTTTAGTACTTTAGTATATTTTCCAACTCGCAAAACCGCTTCACGAAAGTATTTGTTTATAAAGTCAAAATTTTTCTTACTTTTAAATTCGCTCCAAAAATTATTCAAAAAAAAGAAAATTGATATTCTAACGATTCTATATGATTGTTAAGGGGTCCAAGTATGTGTAAAAAAATAAGCGCCAATTAAAATGTCTAACTTTAACCCCAGCACTCACGCAAAAAAATAACGACATTTCGCGCTGAAATTTAGTAACAAATTGTCTCATACCAATACTATCGGACCGATCTGGATCGGGTTTTGAAATTTCGTTTTATAATCGTTTAAAGTACTTATATACATCTACATTTATAGTAGAATTGGACAATTTCTTGCCTGTCAGTTTGCCGCTTCCAAATTACCTCGATTTTCATCACATTCTTACGCGATTTTGGATATCTAGCAACAAAAATATGAAATGCGCAGGTATCAAAACAATTCTATCTTATAGCACAGTTTCATCAGTAATAGTTTTTTCTGTAAACTGCATATTTAAGAAGTTATGTTGGAAAATGTTAGAAAATATACGTCATTTTTGAGTATTTTTGCAGTTCTTAATTTTTTCTACAAAGTGCACAAATTTTTTCCTTGGCGCAACCTTATATTTTCATTGTATATATTATTTCCGACCGATTTTTACTAATATCTAATCTACGTCAAGCAACAGCCATATCTCGAAGGTTTTGAGCTTAATTCTCTTGGACTAATATACTTTAAGTGTGTTCTAGGCTACAACAATAGGCTAAGACACAACTAACAAAGTACAACGTGCAATACAGCGTTATAAACAAATTGTCCCAGGGTCACGCAAAAAGCCTCTCGGAAATTCGCTCTTTTTGGATTATTAAATAGAGCTTATTTTACGGCACCTAATTAAAAAAAGGAGAAAGTCACCTACGCCTCTTTGTTCCCAAGATAGTTTTTTTTATAAAGTTAATTGTTAATTAACTACCTATTAGACGTATCGAACCGAGCTTTTAGAGACAATTAAAGAAAGGGTTAAACTTTTATTTTCAGAAAGTTTTTGTGCTAGCAGCAGAAAAGTTAAGGTTAATGAACGGCCTGCATGCTGGAAGCTGGAGGACATAGAAAATATAGTAGGTTATGGTTGGAGGAGCACGGGCCAGGCCCGCGCATGCGCATGAACGCGCGAGAATTTCGTACCGAATCTGAAACGTCCAATCAAAAATCTCGCGACTCACTCTGTAAAAACGTGTTGATGTAATATGTCAACAAATAAATTAACTATATTTATTATTGTTTTGGAATAGTTGTGTTTTGTGAAGAACATCATGGATAAATTCATTAAGTTAACTGTTCTTGATACCTTTAAATGCATTAAAACACAATTATTTACATGAAAATGTATTTATTTATTCACCAATTCATCATATTCTACGAGCGACATCTTCGCGAGTATTGGAAACATGAGTGAAATTTGAATATGTGCATTCGTACGGTTGTTACCTTGCTTGGAGCTGTTCACACGGCTTTCCANAATGATTATATTTTTAATACTATATATTATGTTATTATATTTTTTTGTATATTATATTGTAGTTATGTTTTATAATATGTATAAGTATTAGTCCAGGCTGTATCGTTGCTCCCGCTAGGAACATGAATCTCATTCGAATTTGTTTTCATAATCTTACTAAAAAAATTACCCTTGAATCATATCCGCATGTTGCCAGACGTTACTAATGGTCAAAAATTGTTTAAACAATTTTTTTTAAACAAATTCGTAATTTTCGATTTTTTCGCTCGAAATACATTTTTATAGGCTTTTTGGGGTATCCTGAACAAATATGTTCATATGCAACTTTCCTCTAAAATCTACTGTTTTCGAGATATTAACGATGTTTTGTTCGAAAAAAACGCGGTTTTAACCATTTTCTTCTCTAAGGATTACGTCAGTAAACAGGAGCTTACAACAAGGAATTTTAATTACTCTTCAAGTTTTCTTTTAATAATCCGTATTAACTCCAAGTACAAAACCTATTACCTATTTAAAATACCCATTTTCTATTTTTAATATCATACCACGTAATATTCTAATTCAAATTTCAATAATTTCATATTATTAAAATTACCTACTAGGGTACTGTCAGGTAGAAACTAAATATTTTATTTCAATAATAAAAATTCTTTTAATCCAGCCCCGACTATTCCGCTTAATCTGAAAGAGTTAGCACGATTCCGTCTCGCTTGGTTCTCGACCGCCACATCAAAGGCGCCAACACGGACTCTTCCAGCTGTATTAAGCTGTGACAGCGTTATAAACAAATTGTCCCAGGGTCACGCAAAAGCCTCTCGGAAATTCGCTCTTTTTGGATTACTGTTCTTGATACCTTTAAATGTATTAAAACACAATTATTTACATGAAAATGTATTTATTTATTCACCAATTCATCATATTCTACGAGCGACATCTTCGCGAGTATTGGAAACATGAGTGAAATTTGAATATGTGCATTCGTACGGTTGATACCTTGCTTGGAGATGTTTACACGGCTTTGCAAAAAAGTTCACTGAGTTAATTCTGCATCTATTTTTAATAAAATATTTATTTGCATTGTCATACATATTTAAAATATTTAATTTTAATCACAAACAACATTTTGCGTAACATCTGATATCATAAATGCACTGACGACACAATCACTGAATTCACAGAAAAGTTGTTTAACATGAAGGTATAGCCCTGTAACATGAACAGCGAGTCTTTTTTATGTATTTATCAAATAATTCAAGCATTCACATACGTTGTTTTTTGCAAAAACTTCGGTAATTATCTACATTGGAATTGTTTTAAATAGCTTTTAACCAATGCTACACGGTGAACAAGAATAAGGTTTTTGTTTAATTTTTGGTATAGCTTTGTCCAATTGTCGCTCATTTTCCCAAAAGCCATAAGTGTTTAATTTATTCGAAGAATTCAGTCCTTTTTTATTTTCCTATAGAAAGATATTTTCAAAAAAGTCTCGTGTTATTTGTATTAATTTTAACCAGTGCAATGGTGTGATAACTGGAAGTTTCCTCTGGCATATAAGCATTTAATCATCTACATAATTATCTATAACACGCCATTTTAGATAGTTATATAAAACTGTTTTCGTCTTCATACCGAGAAAAGCTGATGGTATTTTCCACTACTTAGATATGGACCCACCAAAACAAAGAAAAATGAACAAAACATACAGGGCTAACTGATTTAATTTGAAATTCATATTTTTCCAGGAATTTTTTTAAATAACAAACATTATAATCGGAACGAGATAAAATAACAGGTCCTTATTTGAGACTGATGATGATGTTGAGATACCAACATTCCCACCTGTTTAGGATACATTATATGTAAGAGGCACAAAGTAAGTGCTCAATTTTTTTAAAATTGAAAATTCAGTATTTTATGAAAAATTTATAAATTTTATATATATATAATTATATATCCATTCAGAAAGTTCTATCAAACACTATTTTCAACGATGTCGCCTTCATCCAGCACTTTCTGAGTTGAGGGATGAGCTTTCTAAAACCTGCGTCAAAAAATCAGAAGGTGCCAAGTCAGGGCTGTGAGCGGGGTGGTTGATGATGTTTCAACCGAATCAATCCAAGATTTGCTCTGTGGCGTTGGCTGTGTGGGAACGTATCAACAAGCATACCCCCTTCGTTGACATTTACGCAGAAGAGATCTGGAAATTTGTGGAAGCATTTCTTGTTCACCATCTCATCAATCACAGTTGAGGGACGCCCATTCCTTTGTTCATGATGAACATTCGTTCTGCTAGCTTTATATTCACGACACTAGGTACTTGTACACATTGGTACGATTCATCCTCATACACAGTTTTCATTTCATTAGAAATCTGGAATGGCGCCTTTCCCTTTGCAAGAAGAAACCGGATTAGGTTCCTCGCAGCAGACAATATTCGAAACAGCGGCACTCATTTTCTCAACACGCTACTACAACAGTTCTCAACTGACTGAGACAAATGAGCGCACGTTCTGCTTGGCCTTGAATGCAGTGTTGCCAGTTTTGTCGAAATCAAAAACCACAGAGCATCAGAGTCCCAGTACTCTTACCTTGTGGATATGTCTCGCATATATCAATTATTTCTATTGGCCTTGAAAGTTAAAAACTAATATCGTCAAAAAAATTAAGTATTAAAAATAATTTCTTTTTTGTTACCAATTAAAATTGCAAAGAAACACTTTAATATCTAAAAATTTATCTACAGGATGCTCCATTAAACATAAGCATTTTTTAAATGCATATAGAAACTCACGAAATACTTAAAAGGGCTCCATTTAATTTAATTCATCCCTGTAGACTTACATACTACATTTCATAGAATAGCTTTAAATAACCAAAATAATCTGATAACAAATATATGTAAATTCTTTTGCAAAGAATAAGTGATGTAAATAGATAGAAAAAGATATAACTATAAAATGCCGCAAAAATAAAAACATTGTTTTAACCAAAATATGTGCTGTGCCTAGTTTGATAATTGTGAATACCATTTTAATTATAAATATGAAATTTTCATTTTGGGTAAGTCCATTGAATAATTCATTTTAATAATTCTAAAACATTTTAAACATAAACCAACGTGTTAATTTTAATTTTATGTAATGTTATGTAATATGTTATGTAATAAAATAAATAAGTAATTCACGACCATATGAGTATATAACTTTGTCCCTATTTCAAGACCTTTGCTTCATTTTTTGAGTCATTGTGATCACTTCCAGAGGATTGTTCTTTGAATAGTTTTAGCTTTAGGTCTAAAAATTAAAGACCAAAGGTATAAATCAACGGATTTTTGAAAAAATTGCATTTTAAAAAAGAAAATTATTTTCTGTTTTATATGAACAAATGGAAGTTAATACCAATACTGCTACTAGCTACATAAGACATTAAAAATAATGTAGCAGCAAACAATAAAATATTAATCTAACTCTGTAGCAATCCATTTTGGAATATTTTCAGGTAACTTTGGCTGTGCTGTCAGCGACTGCCATGTCGGAAACAATTCTAGATGGAACACCTTGCGAAAATACAGTTGTCTGTTTATCTGACTCTACATTTTCGTTCTGTTTTTTGATCAACGATGGACAAGAAGAATTACAAGTAGGTAATTTCACTTGTGCTTCCGGTAAAGAATGCGTTCAAGGAGCAAACAATCCGTAAGTATACAATGAAAAAGACTAAAACAATAACAAATTCAAAATATAGGATAAATGAACTAAAAATAATAATTGTATTTTGCATATGTGTTATTACTAACATTTTTTTCCTTTTCTTAGTCAACAATGTTAAAATGCTTAATAATTTAAATGTTATTATGAATACAGGCTGTTACAAATTCGCTTCTCATTACAGGGATCTCGGAAACGGTAAGAGCTACGAAGTTGTTTAAATGGGGGCAAAGTTGCGTAATCAGGGGTCCAACAATATGCCTCTAAAAAATCAACATGATTAGTTTTCGAAATATTTGAAAAAAAAACAATATTTTGGAAATCCGTTTTTGTTTCATTTCAGCCTTGTTTGAGGAGATATTGAAAAAAGATGAACACTTTCTCATGGCCACTTTTTGCCCTCTATCGAATGGCATAATCAATTTTTATATGTAACGTTTCGTCTCTCCAGGACCATCATCAACTTAATTTTTTTAAATACGACCCTGGAAATTTTATTACATTTTTTCCAAGCCTTCATAACCCCCCAATATTGTACTGCCTCAGCCCTAACCAGATTCAAACGTTTTGCCTTGAAAAATTAATCTTCAGTGTATTCGTTCCAAATTTATCTAAATTTTTTATTTAGATTTCTTTGTTTATTGAATTATCGTACACTATAAGTGTCGTTAGACCCTGTGAAATCCATTTAGTTATTTAAACTATTACCAGTGGCCTTGAATTTACAGAGTTTTCAGTGAGAGTGACTCCCGGTATCTCCGCCACTGAAATACTTATTTATTTATATCTGAATTCAGTGGATTGTTACCTTTAATTAGATAAATTTATTATCCTCAAGTTTCATCATTCTGCATCAAACGCCTTCAAAGTTCAAAGATATTTTAGAAAACGTGTAGTTCTTTAATTTCAACACCCAATATATCTTCAAAACTATTGATTTGTAGACCCTTTTTGATTTAAAATCACTTAAAAATCGTCCTTCAAAGTTTGTCGAAGCACTTATTTAGCATCCTGTATAATAAACAAAGTTAGACATGTAAAAACAATATCTCGGTTACATTTACTTACAAATACTATAATATTTTAATCAAACAAATTCAAAGACAAAAACCTAAAGTGAACACAGTTTTACTATAGTAGGATCGTATACGATGCAAAGTAGAGCAAAAAATTGTCGGCCTTTTATCAAAGGAAAATCGTGTCATCATTTTTAGGAGGCGTAAGATAAATCTTTTCAAATTTAAAATGAAATTCAATGTAAAATCTGAAATACCGCTGCATACGCACTGTGTTCTGGTAGTAGCTGTAGTCGCCCAGGTGCATCGAGTGTACGAACTGGTCGGTTATACGTCAAATACTAACCTGGCGAGCTTTGCTGTCAATTAGAGAGCGCTTCCAAAAAACAANAATAATAATAATAATAATAATCTTTATTGCCCAACAGATAACATCCATTTATAGGACAAATTGTTTACAGAAAAGTTAAATGCTTAACATGCATATATATAAGACACATCGAATGAAGTACGCAGAAGGCTAGTAATATTGTATGTGCATACAATACCCAAAAAAAGAACATATAATATTCTTATATAGAATTAAACCTAAATAAATTCACCATATCTTATACCAACAGTTTCAACTATCTGATTGAGGCTGCTAAAATTAAGATCACACAAATCTGATGTTTTATTGAAATTTTGGCACATAATATGTATTGGGGACATCATGAGACACTGCGACCTTGCTCTAGCACAAATAAAGATATCTTTTGACTTTAAGTCATCAGCAAATAAAAGTTTTTCACAGCATATTTGAGATGTTAAATCGTTAATAAAATATAAAAAAAGTAGGGGTCCTAAATTAGACCCTTGAGGAACTCCAGAAGTGGCTGTGAAAATACTAGAATTGTGTCCAAAATACGTAACGTATTGCTTTCTATTCATAAGATATGACTCGAAAAGGTTGCATAAATTATAACTGAAACCGAAAGCACTCAATTTTTGTAAAAGAATTTTATGATCGACACGATCAAACGCCTTTGCAATGTCAGTGTAAATCACATCTACTTGCCCTCGTATATCAAGTTCATTGGATATGAATTGTGTAAGTTGACATAAGTTAGACACTGTAGATCGTCCGCGCATGAAGCCATGCTGATCCCATGATATTAGAGTTTTTGTAGCAGGATAGATGCGATTATAAATCGCTATCTCGAATATTTTTGAGAAATTGCAAAGAATTGAAACCGGTCGATAATTCTTAACTTCGGTGTTATTACCACTCTTAAAGATCGGACATACTCTCGACAATTTCCATATTTCAGGAAACGTAGATGATTACAAAATAACTATTTATAAAAGCCAGAGCATTCCTCCTTAGCAGCATGGTGATATTATGCAAAAATGTTTAAACAAACATTTACTTCTATTTTATATTAGTATACATTATTTTACTATTTAAAAACAGTTCTCGGTAATATTTTTTTATCTCAGTAAAATTGATCTCTTTACACAATACATGTAAAAACGTACCTACTTTAGAAATTATATTTATGATGTGACATGGAGATATCTACGTAGGTACAATACATGATAATTTATAAACCCCAGTTTCTAATGCTTTACATAAATACGTTTAGATTTAATGCTTTGTATACATAAAGCATTATTAAACCAAATTTTTCGCCAGTAAACGAAACAATCTTGCGAATATCTGGAAAAATTTAAAGCGTTGAAAATGGCGAAGCAGCTGGTTTCAAATTGGAGTTTTTCCATGATGGGTTGTTGATTTTATTTTAAAAAAATTAGGGTTCCATTATAAAATAGAGTTAATATTGGTCAATGGCATAAGCGAGGACATAAGTTATATCAACAATATACCAAAAAAAAAGAAGGAAAATGTATTTAGCGAGATGAAAGTGTTTAGAACCGATATGAATGAAAACGTACTAGATTTTAACACAAAATTTGGTGAATTTTTTTGATGTTAGGCAGCACAGAAGTTTTTGAATAAAAAAATGATTGCAAATACTAAAGCAAGAAAAGAGTTTTTCAATAAAATTTTTGATTCTAGTTGCCATGAAGCTTTAATAGAAGGACAAACCAAGAATACTACTTCAAAATCTTTAGGTAATATATTTTATTACATTTTTCTGAATTAATTCTCATGAGGTGAAAGACAGAAAGAGAGAAAAACAATTTTGGAGTATAGCACAAAAATTGTTCAAGTAGTTAGAGAATATTTCTTGTATCAATAATGTATGATGGACTTATATGTATACAGGGTGTCCCGAAATGTCTCGAAATTTCAAATAGAAACCCCTAGTTTTTATTATTGTATTACTTTTTTTTTAACTTTTTGTTATTTCTCTTTATCATCATTATTATTATGGTCTTTAAACGAACTTTTGTTAGACTTGGACGTTAAATTTGGTATTTATTGATGTTGACATTAAAAATACAGGTTTGAAAATTTTCAGTTTGACTTTGATTTGACCCAAGACCATAAGGTCAAGGCAAATAAAAGGTCACCAATAAATTTGTCATTAAAAGTACTACTGATATTCCTTGCAACATTTTTCTATAGTTAAAATCCCGTCAAGTTAAGAAAAGCAAATTCGACCTCGAAATGATCTTCAAAGGATATCCAAGAAAAAAAAAATTATTCCATTTTCGGACGTAAAATTTCGATCTATCGAATCTATAGATTTGTAAAATAAAAAATAAAAGTTCCCATTTGAAATTTTTAAGTTGACCTTGATTTAACCTAAAAAAATTGGAGTCAAGGTCAAAGACAAGGTCACCGCAAAATTGGTTTTTTGAAATCCTTTTCTTTTTGATAGGATTTCATCATGAAGAATTATGGAGGAGTTCGGTTTTTTTTTGGGACACCCTATATAGAGTGCCTGTATGAGCAAAACATTTAGGAAGTAATTTTAATCATAAAACATTTTTTTTACCAATATTAGCGGAATTAACCTCAGTATTGTTTAAATAAATATTTTTTTCAGTTCAGTAATATTTTTTCAAATTTGGTACACTTATTAATGACAACAAACTACACCTACGAAAAATGGTTCTATTTACAAGAAAATTTATTGCATTTCTTTATTTGTAGTTTTTCAAAAAAAATTAAGTTTCAGTTTGGATATCAAAATACAGGTATTACTTCACCAAGAAAAAGCGTATATATTTTCGTAATTTCCAAAAAATCAAGATTATTCGACACATTTTCTGTTATATTCAAATCTTATCTCATTTTTACACTGAAACAGATAAGTTGTAACTGTTTTTATGGCCACTCCTAAATATTAAATTTGAAAAAAAATCCTAACAGAAAATGAAAATGTTCAACATGTAACAAGAGTTTTTTTTTAATATAAAATTATTTAATTTTCAGAAAAACCTCAAATAATTTTTTTGTAGTCATTTAGGGATTTAGAATTCTAATAATTTTTTATTTGTTAGTGCAATTTGTTAGAGATGTTTTAAAATCTTATGAGCTATGACCTTCATATGCGCAGAAACATAATTCCGACAGTCGCCTAAATTATTCTACGTCCTAAAAACATTACACCTATTATTTACATTCTCTCTGGAGCTCTAGCGTAAACAAGCCTTTGATCCGATTACAAATATCATAATAAAATGCCCTATTCTTTATTATTTTAATTTAAACAATAAAAATATATGTAACCAACGTTCGTCAGTTAACTTTATTGATGCCCGAGCGCCTTAGTACATGTCTACTTGTAAAGATGCACATGGTCTAGTTCTGAATCAATTTTTTCACAATGTGCTTATTAGAAGAATTATGGGGATATGCCACGCCTTTCGCGCATTTCGCGGCTCATGAGATATTAAAAGACCTCTACCAACTAAAGGTATACCAAATATAAAAAAATGCATTACCGACAAAAAGTATGAAAAATTATAATAATAATAAAACTACAGCATAATTTGTATAACATCAATCACAATCAAAATGTTCATAATTTCTGGACACCCTATATTTAAGATGCATTAAAAAAAATCAAGATTGACAAAAATACTGTCATATACAAAATTAAGCAATTCTTGCTTTTCTTAGATTTTTGCAACATTACTTTTGAACAGTGTTCTAAAAAATTTGGTTTCAAACTAAATAGTTATATAAAAAATTATAGAAGAAAATAGAAGTTACAAAAGTTGTTAAAAGGAACTTGAATTATTTTTGCAGTAGATTCGTGCGAAACCCAAGGAATATGTAAGCACGCCGCCAACAACTGCAACCAGTACTATGAGCTAGTCCTGCAAAGCTGTCCTTCCGGAGAATCCTTCAGCCGCACAGAACTGAAATGCACATCTGAAGAAGCTTGCACTGAAACAAACAGTTCTACAGAAACGCCATCAACTCAAAGCTCGCCTTCGAATGAAGAGGAAGATTGCGGTTGTACACCACCAACTTGTACTGGTACAGGAAAATATCCGTCTGAAAACTGCAGTCAGTACTACGAATGCATCGACACTGATACAGGATACGAACTGGTGATACAAACATGTTCGTCTGGGCAGGCCTTTAACAGAACACAACTCGTATGTGTTGTTGATGAGATATGTGGACGTGAAAACAATTCATCCGGCACGACTTCTTCAGTAGCTTCGACAACACAGGCGACAGGTGCGACATTCGACACTTTAAATTGAAACTATAGTTTATGTATTGTAGAAATTAAAACGTCGAAAATTATGCAAATATGTTATTATTTTTATAGTAGTAACTCCACCTACATGTCTGGAACCAGGGAGACTGCCTTGTCAGGAGTGCAATCAGTACTACGAATGCACGCCAAAAGAAGATGGATCTTTCGAGATATCTCTGGAAACTTGTCCTACAGGACAGGCATATAGCAATACTCAGCAGGAGTGTTTCCCAGATGATTCCTGTATTCCAGTAGTGACAGAATCGACAACCATACATTCAGGTAACTATCGAATGCAGTCCTAAATTTCATAATCCCTTCATAACATTCAATTTTAAAATTCTCTATGTTAGAAGTTACTCCTCCTACGTGTACTGGACCAGGACGACTGCCTTGTCAGGAGTGCAACCAGTACTACGAATGTACAGAAAAGGAAGACGGCTCTTTTGAGATATCTCTGGAAACGTGTTCCTCAGGTCATGCATATAACAATACGCAGCAAGATTGCGTTCCTGATGATACTTGTGCTGTGGAAACTATAGATACAACAACAAGCGAACCTTGTGGCTGTAATACAACCGAACCTGAAATAATTACAACTACTGAAGCTCCAGGTAAATACTTGTCTTCTACTTTTACTAAACTATTAAATTAAATTCAAATTTTATTTCTAAGGCGTGCTTTTATAATTATACATCAAATTTCATAATATTTATTAATCATATCCTTATCTGTAGTGACAGCTCCAGCAGAATGTACTTCTGCAAGTAAATACCCCTCTCAGAACTGTAACCAGTATTACGAATGTGTACAATTCCTATGGTGGTACTTTTTGAACTTATACACGTGCCCCTCTGGGCAAGCTTTTGACACTACGGAATTGTTATGCGTCGCTAACTACAGATGTAATGCAGAAACTGGCAAAATTGAATCCGAGACGACAACAAAACCATCTACTACTTCAAGTACTTCAACCACAACTACTACAACTCCCATCACTACTACTACAACTCCCACCAGTACTACTACTACTCCCACCGCTACTACTACAGCTCCCACCACTACTACTACAAGTCCCACCACTACTACTGCAATTCCCAACCCTACTTCTACAACTCTCACCACTACTACTACAACTCCCGACCCTACTACTACAACTCCCACCACTACTATTACAATTCCCACTACTACTACGCCCACTACAACGCCTACCACGACTACAACAAAGCCTACTACAACTACAACGACACAAGGTAAAGTATTTTTCATTAATATAACTTTGAAGATGTTTAGTGCTGTAGCAATAGATATAGCGTACAGCGGAATGTCTTAACATCAATTATACATGTTTATTCTGATTTCAGCAACTCCTCCATCAAGTTGTACAGGTGCTGACAAGTATCCTGCTCCCGCGTGCAACCAGTATTACGAATGTTTAGAGGTTATGTATTGGTACGAATTAGTAGTCCAAACCTGTGAATCCGGACACTCCTATAGTGAATGCTTAAAGATCTGCGTCGCAGACGAAACTTGTAATCCTTAAATTATGTTTAATGTAAATGTATTTTCATTAATAAATATAACTGAAAGCATAATAAATGTAAGTTTTTCTTGTACCTCCCTAATTATCAGTTACTTTAATATAGTTGTAGTAGTGGGTAATTTATACAGCGAACAAATTGAAGATGAAAGAAATATAATAAGTTTCGTTACATATTTTGAAACCATTTTAAAAATAATTTTCGTTAATACCTAATTTATTTGTTTAAAAAAAAATGGGTAAGTACTAAGATTTTCTATTGAATTTAGGTGCCTATTACACTAGTTGAAAAATATGCTAAAATTAACAAAAAGTTTATAAAAATTTTAAGAAAATACACACAAAATAAGTTTTTATTTTCCCAAAAACATTTTGAATATAAGAAACTTTAAACCCATGGGAAACACTGGGGGATATCAACCAGCCGACAAGAAAATTTTCCTTCGATTCGAATTTTGAAAATTTGTGCTTTGGGGTTTTCGGGGGTAAATAAAATAATGCCATTGTTGTAGCACTTCCGGTTATACCGGAAGTCGCCATCTACTTACTTATTTTGAGTTGAACACCCTGTATATTTTTGCATAATCGACTTTTATCAAGCTCCCCTATATCTATGTTTAATGGTCTTTGAGATGTTTCAATTCTATCAAAAAAGTTGCTTTTGGATAGCCTAATTCATAAATGTCTATTTTTTACATATCGTACAAACCACATAAGAAGTATGTGGTACAAACTGAAGTATTGATATTTGAAAGAGAGGTAGGGAGATGTCTATCCTTTGTTACAGTTATTTTAAAAACTGCTGAATTTTACACAGGGCGGTAAAAAGTTATTGTCGAATTTGCTTAACTTTGAACCGCCAAACCTTTCTTTCTAATTGAAACACCCCGTATATTTAATCAAAAACTGTTGTAGAATTTGATGAAATATTGGTTGTTTTGTTTTTAAGTTTGCTAGCAATTTCACAGTCATCCTCGCAAGGAATTGGATCATTTTATTATTTATCACAAAAGCCGTCAATCACAGAAAAATTGAAAGATATAGGTATAGGGAAGTGTAATATGGATAGATAGAAAATAAAATTCTACAGCAGATTTTAATTAAATATACAGGGTGTTCCATTTAAAATAAGCAACAAGTAGATGGCGACTTCCGGTATAAACGGAAGTGCTACAACGATGGAATTATTTTATTTAAAAAGAGCACCACAAAGCCTAAGTTTTTCAATTTCTCGTTTTTTATTGGGTACGTTCCCTGTCTCTTGAAATTTTTTTTACTAACTCTAGAACATACTTCCTCCTGACATGTCGATCTTGATGTTGTTCATTAAATAGCTGAGCTGTTCTATTCGCACATTTACTGTTCATAAAGTAAAGCGAAATGATATCTACCCTTTCCGCAATGGAATAAACCATAGTGTTTAATTTTCAAAAACACAATTAAATAAACTACCAACCAACGCTTCCTAATAATACTAGAAAATAATTTGGAATCCACTAATTTTACGTTCATTGTGTGTGTATAGCATTCATTTCTGTTTTTTACAATTGTGTTTTTTTTACGAAAGTGATAAGAAATCGCCAAAAACCAATGTAACGCAAAAAATTAAATTTATACCATTGGCGTAAAAATTCTTAATAAGTATTGGGCGGAATTATAAAATATAAAGTCTGTTGTAAAGAGAATTGTAAGAATTTTCAAAAGAAATATTACTCCTTGCTTGGGGGTGAAAGTGACGGAGTCAAAAATACCAGTAAAGAATGTCTCCCTTTAATCTAAAATCGACGGGTCTGAGCGTTTTTCTACAATCTTGACGCAATTCAGAAAATGGCTCTGTTTCGTTTTCATTTGGCCACCCTGTACGAGTACCTACACTATATGAAATAGTTCATTGTATTAATAAGTTATCTACTTTGGCTTCTTATAATATTTGTTTTATATTTAAAAACTTAAAAGTAAAAAGCTAGGGATGATGATAATGTCCAATTATAAATATCTTGTTTCTTAGTTTTACCTTTTTAAATATGACATATTTTAAGGACAAAATAAATAATAATTGAAATAAACTAATTCTAGTTATGGCAAAATAAGTTACTTTTTATGTAAAAAAGAGAGATACTTATTTGCTAGTATTGTCATAAAACTCGTCATTCTAAGATAACAACTTAACAATCGTGATAAAATCTATTGATAGGATAAACATTGTATTACAACTACCATAATAAGGGGATGCGATTGCAACAATAAATAAAAAGTTAGTAAAAACATTTTTAACCAATAATAGTCTCCTTTAGAAAATATTTTGCTAGGGCAATTTCTTCTTGTGGCTAAAAGATACACTAAAATAATCACTTTTATATTTATTTATTCAACTATTACTCAAATAATTGAGAGAGAAGTCATATATGTAGCGTATATAATTGTTTTAATAGGCAAATATTATTCAGTAGTTACCACTTTTTAAAACTTTTCAACAAGCAGTATTACTTGATATTTTCTATTCTGGACTTAATTTTGTACTTGAATGAAAAAGGATTCATTTTTCAAGAATCACCTGTCACACCGAATGTCCTGGAAGTATTTACTTGATGATTTTGGTCATTGCACGAAATACACACATGTGATTTTACTAAAATGTCTCTTTCTTAGAAAATAATTATCTTATCAACATCAATATTTGAATAAGTGAAACAAAAAAGTGTTTACCCATTCAAAAATAACGTACATATCTTTGTTGGATAATAAATGTAATTGTATTATTTCATTTGCCGTAATTAGTTTAGTTCTAAGTATTCTTCTATGTGATGTAGAGATCCGTTTTCTGGGAAGGGTGATTGGAAATAAACCTGTCAGATCTCTCTACCTCTCTATAAAATGCGGCAAACATTCCCAAATGCCATTACCTATTGGACTGTCGTCAAAATATTAGGTACTTACTACCTTTCTTCCAAGAAAAAATAATTTTAAAGGTGAAACAGCACAATTAAATGAAAGAACGACGAAGTTAAAAGCAAGCTGTTCAATTTTGATCAATCAATATTTTCTGCACCATTTTGGTAAATTTTCCTCAACGGTCCCCTTAGCCGAAAAGTTAAGTCTTTCCGACAAATTGCAAAGCATTGTTTACTAAATAATCTATCGACAAATAACAGGGGAATTTTAGCACAAAGAAAAGGGATTTAGATACGTACACAAATATTTTTAATTTAAACTATTCACAAGCAACGGTTTAGATAAAAATGACGCGCGCGTCGAATGTCGTGCATAGACCTTCAAAATTGTAGTGTATAAGGTTTAACTAATTATGATTTACTCATTTTTGGTAAGTAGACTTTCATTACAATGATTTAAAATAAAAATTTTGTACCTAACCTAAGACATAACTGATATCTATCTATTTCTTATAAGCAGATATAAAACGAGCTTATTTTAAAACAGCAAATTTTTCTAAATTTCCTAGTGGAAGGTTCAACCTACAGTTTTATAGGCTTTAAAACTTTTTTTAGACAGATTTACTTCGGTTGTTAAATTTAAAATAAATCTACATTCTGTTAAAAACGTATCAGGAATTTGTCAATAAAACACAGTATATTCATTATCATCAAAACGTAGAGTCTTCTCCATTTGAAGCAACACACTTTTTCCAACAAACACCCCGTCGTCAAAGCACTTTTTAAACACATATTCCGGTATGGACCTTCAACTCCTTCTGCGATTTTTGTTTTATGGGTTTTATTGACCCAAAATGTGTTCCACGAGGTGGTAATTTATTTGGGAAAATGGAAAAGTCAGCAGGGGCCATATCCGGCGAATATGGTAGCTACTCGATGACTTTCGTTGGGGTTTTGGTCAAAAAATCATTCACAATTATCGCTTTGTATGATGGTGCATTATGGTGGTGCAAAATCCAAGAATTGTCCTTCAGATAATATTCTTTGTTGAGTGTTCCTCCATCCGGAAGGAAACCGTCAACATGACTTTGATTTTTGATCGATTTTTACGTGTTTTTTTTTTTGGTTTTGGCTCATTAGAAATGTAGAATCTGAATTAGCTCGTTCAAGCATGTCTTCAGCACCATATTTGCGTTTGGTTCATATACCAGCTCTTTCAAACTATAATGACGGTTTGCAAGCACCTTTTCCTTCTCATTATCGATATTTTCTTCAGCTGAAGACGTTCAAGGGCGACCAGAACATTATCAAAATTTTTTCCATATTTTCTGAGACCAGTTTAAAAGAAGTAATTACAGAAACAGTCTACTACATAGATTGCAATGTTCAAAAGTTTTCAATTCATTTACTTTATTGAATACTTCGTCTTGAAATACGTACTTAGATAATATTTAATATCTATTTTAGGCGACTGTGACTGTGGTGGTACTAGCCATCCAAGTCCCACGTCCCATAGATGGGGCTTGTACAAATGGAATTGTTTGTTTGTCAGCCACCAATTACGCCTTCTGTATTTCTAACACCCTAGTGGGCAACTACTCTTGCAGCGATGGGCAGGAATGCGTTGAAGGTCAAAGCTATGCGTAAGTAAAACACTGTGCTGTCTCATTTGCATAAACTACATACAAACTAAAAATGCTGCAATAAATTTATAGCTCAAATTTTTCACAAGAGTAAAATCTTGTAATGAATAATGTTTTATTTATTTAACCAATTTCGCAAAGATGTCACTGAGTTTGACTCATTTTTGAAACAATATTTAGCTTGATTCAGCAACAGTTATTGACGATAAAGACAAAAGGAAAAAAACACCAGACTCTACCTAGGTACCCAGGGGCTTTTGGTGTCGCTAATTCCGATACCAAGGTCGGTTAAGCTCTATCACGTTAGGTTCAAGGACATTTGAACGTCAAGCTTATGAAAGGTGGTTGAAATAAAACAGAAAAGTTCATACACAGGTTTTTGGGTCGTTGAGTCCGATGTCGGTTGACCTCTATCACCTCATGTCCAAGGTCGTTTGAAGGTTAAAGTAAGAATAGGAGGTGAAAAAAATTGGAAGAATGCTCACCTGCTTACTTTTGTCTGTTTATTTGTCTGCCTTTTTACCTGCACACCTGTTTGGTAGCTTGTTAGTCTGTATTTATTGCCCGTCGTTCTACCTACCTTTCTGTCGGTAATTTTGTCTATCTACTTGTCTAACTAGATGAATAAATGTTTCTTTTTTCTGCCATGCTCTTCATTCTCATCTTGATTAGTTCCCAGAAAAACTGGGAGCTTTTAGTGAAGAACAAGAAGAAATAATGCACCAGGACCTTAATGAGTTTGAACAAAGATATCAAGTATTTGGGGGGAAAATATGTTAGCAGACTATTGCTGGAATCTAAAGCACAGAAAAGAAAAGCGATTCGAAGACCATTCCAGGAACAACGTAAGCGTTCTCGCCCGAATTTCGATGTATACTTATGCTGAGAGAAGCGAATTGATTTGTTGAAGGCTTTCAAAAGTTTTTTTTAATCTAGTTTTTGTATAATCACGGAAAACCAAGAAAGGATGGTAGGCAGAAAGGTAAGAAGACAAACTGACAAGGAAGCAGACTGTCAGCGGACATTTAAACAGAGGGTGGCAGAAAAACAGACAGATAGAAGCATTTAGTCATTTAGTCAGTCAGGAAGAGAGACAAAATTACCGACAGAAAAGCAGGTAAAAAGGGAGGATGTCGGGTAGATGGACAGAGAGAAAATACAGACGGACGATAAATACAGATTAACAAGAAAACAAACAGGTGTGAAGGTAAAAAGGCAGACAGATAAACAGACGAAAGTAAGCGGGTAAGCATTCGTAAACATTTTTTTCATTTTTTTAACCTCCTATTCTTACATTAACCTTCAAACGACCTTGAGATAGAGGTCAACCGACACGGATTCAGTCTCAGCGACCCAAAAAACCTATGTATGAACTTTTCGGATTTTTTCAACCACCTTTTTTTAGTTTGATTTTCAAATGACCTTGACCCTGACGTGATAGAGCTTAACCGACCTCGGCGTCGGAATCAGCGACCCCAAAAAACCCTAGGTACCTAGATAGAGTTCGGTGTTTTTTTTTTCAAAGTAAATGTTGACCTATGTATTTAAAGTACCATGTTGTTTTTGGGCCGTGACTTTTAAATTTCAAATTCTTTTCTTCTCGACAGTTGAAATAGTCAATGTAAAATTGTAAAAGAGAGAACGGAAAAATTATTTTTAAAAAATTTTGAAAAATTTGGATTTTTTTCATAATTATAATTTTTTTTTTGAGGATTTGATGAGCATTTAACGCGAAATTGTGAGAAAAATAACGCAAATTTGTTTCATCTTAATCATTAATTGATCTTTAAACAGCAATAAACCTGCTCCTTTGATTTTTTATAAAACTTTCACGATTCAGGAAAGGAATACGGTTCGACCGATCGATTTCAAAATTTACGAGCCTTATGGGCTTATATTGAGCTAAAAAAACCTACAAACATTGGTACTTTTCGCGATATTTTCAAAGTAATCGTTGATTTTATTTTCCAAAACAGCAGAAAGTCATTTTTTTAACTTTTTCAAATTAATGCTTGGTATAAAAAAAAATTTGTCACACATACCAAAAGGCCCTTGAAGAGGATTGGTTCAGGTCTCTAAAACTCACCTTCCGTTCGTTGTACGATCGATGAAATATCGATGATCAGAAAAAAAAATGACGTTTCATTCAATCGCCAATAACGTAATGAGAAATAATCGTACAGATAATAAAAATAAACCAAATTGAATCAGGCTAAATAACCCTGGCATTGATTAAGCCAGAAAACAAATTTCAGAGCCCATGTGCAGTTTTGAAAAAGAAAATTGTAAAACTTTTACCTTGCATTATTTCTTTTGATGGCTCCGGGAGTAATGCTTAAAAAATTTTTTCGTCTCAAGATTTCAAAACTAGAATCTTCAAGCTTCAAGATGCTTCTTTTTTTCTTGACACGACCATTATTCAAGAAGTTACAACCTTTCAAAAATCACAAAAAAATTTGGAAAACTTTCTGCTCCTGTAATTTTTTTGCCGAGTTTATATGAGCATACTTTTTTCAGGTGTCAAGAAGCACAGACAACTGTGTCTACAGTGGCGCCAAGTAAGTAATATGCAACTGTGTTCTGAATAAATATTATCTGGTATCTCTAACAACGGTTTTTACAGTAACACCCCCAGCTGAGTGTACAAGCGCAAGTAAATATCCTGCCCAAAATTGCAATCAGTATTACGAATGTACGTCATTCCTGTGGTGGTACAATTTAAATTTGTTAAATTGTTCATCTGGACAGGCCTTCGATAGCGCTCAACTGGAATGTGTCAACAACACAAGTTGCAACGCAGAAACTGGTCAGATTGAAACGACAACGGAAGCGTCAACAACGACAGAAACAGCAGTTGCAGGTAAAACTTACAGAATTGGAGGATCGATCAAAATTAAATAATATAAAGGGGGGCCCAGAAATCACGCAAGAAGTGATTTTGATAGAAAACAGATTTGAAAATGCACTCTTTTGTCGAAATTTTCCATGATAACCTTTGTCCACAAAGCGATCGAATTTCGTTGATACAACGCTCAACTTCCTTCTTCAAGGCGTGGGTGGTCGTAGGCTTGTTGGCTTAGACTTCAAAAAAAGCCCAAAGAAAAAGTTCAACGGCGCCAAATCGCATGGAGCGGCCATTACACGACCAAGAAAAGACTCGTGCAATAATTCAACTGTTTCTCGGGGTGTATGGTATGTGGCACCGTCTTATTCAAACCACAAGTCGTCTACATCCATATCTTGCAATTTAGGCACAAAAAACTGGATTATTATGTCGCGATAGAGGGCGCAGTATTTTCGAAGAAGAATAGCTGATGATGCCTCCAGCCCAAAATTCACACAAAGCAGTGACATGTTGTGGTTGCAGTTATTTCTCAACAATCACTCGTGGATTTTCTAATCCCTAATTGCGACAATTTTGTCGATTTAAAGCCATTAAGATCAAAATGAGCATCATCACTGAAGATGATTTTGTTCGAAAAAACATCCACTTGTTTTTTATAATCCATTCAACGGACTCTCTTCGCTATGCGTGGTCAGTAAGCTTCAGTTCCTGAGTCGATTGAACTTTGTAAGCATGAAGATGTAAATTTTTCGTGAGAATAAGCGTGTAGGATGGGCGTAGCAGAATTTTTGCTTGGGGGGGGGGTCAGGGCTGCAAGCTCTTTGGAGCCTCTAAAAAAAAGCTTTCGCAATCAGTAACTTGCCGAATAAAATTTCAAAAACATAAACACGTTATGCCGATATGATAGACAGAAAATATTAGATCCGTTTACTGGGAAGGGCCGTACACACCCCTGCTCCCCCTTAGCTACGTCCATGATTATAATCTATGCATTCATGCTATTGTCGTATTGTTGGAGCTATAGGAACTGGAGAATGCCCTGTTGGGATCTTTTGTAATCTCAGTAGTGCTTTTGACTGCGTAAATCACGACATCTTGGTTGACAAGTTGGAGAAATATGGGATTCGTGACATTCCCCAGAAATGAGAGGCAACTTTTATTCGAGATCGAGTTCAATATGTTGCTATAGACAATGTAACTTCCGAAATTAAAAGTCAATACAGGGGTACAGGCTACGGTACTGGGCCCTGTCCTGTTTCTTTTATACATTAATGACTTAGACGAGCTTTCAGGATCGGGGTCTTTCACATTTTATGCCGATGATACGTCAGTGGTGATTTCAGTCAAATCGGATAAAAAATTATCTGAGACTTGCGGGTAGAGTGATATCCAGGATGAGTGACTGCTTTAGTCAAAACTAATTACTATTAAATATCAATAAAACTCAGGTTATAAGATTTCACAATATGCAAAAGCTTTGTAATAGTATTGATGTTAATGTTAACAATACACTAATTAATAACACAAAATTTCTAGGATTAACCCTGGATGAGTGTCTAACTTGGAATAATCAATGTAACGAATTAGCAATGAAGTTAAATTCAGTATCATATCAATTTCGAAATATCAGAAAAGTCCTGACCTTGATCAATTATTGAAGCTATATTACTGCCAGGTAGAATCGCGTTTGCGATATGGCATCTGTTTTTGGGGGGTCATCTTGCCACGCTGATAATGTTTTTGTTGCTCAAAAACGTGTAATTAGGTGTATGTTCGGAATGTCAGCTAGGGAATCCTATAGACGGATATTCGTCTATTACAGTATTTTAACAATGCCTTCTGTTTTGTTGTATGGAATGTGTCTATATATTTTTGTCAACAAAAATCAGTTTGTCCACAGAAATCAGATTCATTCAATTGATACACGGCAGTCTTGCCAATTTAGTATACCTTTTGGTAGGTGTAATCTGTCTTTTAACTCACCTAAGTGTCTTGGTATACGAATGTTCAATAGATTACCTAATGATATAAAAATTTGTACCTCTGTTTATAGCTTCAAAAAGGCTCTGAAAAAATACTTGGTTGATAAATGTTTCTATTATGTGGAAGAATATTTTGTTAATCAACTTTCTGTTAATTAATCGTAAGTTGTAAATTAGTCTTGTCTTTATGTACTTTTTTTGACTATTCCTATTCAATTGTTGTATTGACTAGAGGAAATATATTTTATTATTATTAATTAATATAGGGTCAAATGTAAAAAGTATTAATTCCATAAAATCCAATTCATATGAATTTAAATATTTTATCGCCATTATACTATCTTTCTAAAAAGTGTTTTATAGCCATTGTACTATCTTTATACAGGATATTTCGGTTTATGTTTCGATTATTCCTTCATAGGATATTTTAGTGTTGATATTTGACAATCATATTTTATAAAATATTTCCGAGTTTGATGAATTTATATTTAACGATTTGTCGTTTTTCCCGTACTCTTTTCCCGGAGTTTCTCCCCGGGGTTTTCTCCCGGACTTTCCCCAAAGTTTTGCCCGGACTCTTCCCCTCAGTTTTTCTCAGAAGTTTTTACTCGAAGTTTTCCCCGGATTTCTTCCCGTACTTTTACTCAGATTTTTCCCCGTACTTTTAACCCGAAATTTTTCCCCGGGCTTTTCCCGGTAGTTTTGGATGAAACAGCTGGCACACATTTGTTTATGCTCAAAACGCGACTGTAATAACATTTTGCTATTTTTTATTACAGTATTTGTTTTATAAATCAAAGTTCCACTTCCAAAGCTTCAGTGCATTTAATTCCCGACAATTAGGTCTTATACGGTCTAAAAATAATAATAGGGAGCAATTTTCTAGGTAACGCTAATTTTAGAAACTAATTGGAATAGCAATATTATAATCAAAATAGGGTCAAATGTAAAAAATATTAATTCCACAAAATCTGATTCATATGAATGTTCTAAAAAAAAAGTCACGCAGTCAGCGACTCAGCCGGTATGCCGATATGATAGACGATAATATTAGATCTTTTTTTCTGGGGTGGGCACCGGGCATTATGGGGTGGGTCGTGCACATCCCTGCTCCCCCCTAGCTACGCCCATGGTAGAGTTTCTTGAAATGTCCAAAATGTTGACCACGGTGCAGAGTTGATGATCCTGGACACTCAGCAACACTTTTACTTTGCAATGAAAACGCTCCATTTCTAATAATCTTGATCTATCAGCTGTCACGTTGTCTTTTTTTTTTCATTGGCAACACTTTACTGCACAGATGGCGCTAAATTTAAATCTAGCGTAAATTTTGGGACACCCGATATAAAAAGGCTGAACTAAATAAATATTAACTATGCTCCTTTATTAATCCTGACTGATTTGTCTTTACAGTAACACCTCCAGCAGAGTGTACAAGCGTTAGTAAATACCCTGCCCAAAATTGCAATCAATATTACGAATGCGTGTCATTCCTCTGGTTCTGGTACAGTTTAAATTTGGTAAATTGTTCTTCTGGACAAGCCTTCGATAGCGCTCAACTGGTGTGTGTGAACAACACAAGTTGCAACGCAGAAACAGGTCAGATTGAAACCACAACTGCACCAACAACGACAACGGAAGCAACAACAACGACAGAAACACCAACAACAGTTGCAGAAGGTAAATTTATTTACAGAATGTAGAGTAGATCTATGCACAAACACTATTTAATAATTTTTACAGGCGCGGATCAAAATCAAATAATACAAGGTGAGTCATTTTAATCGATCCACGCAAATATCTCGGACAGTTTAGGTTCTAACGAAAAATGACCTTTATAAAAATTGTGCGATTTGATAGGAGAAAACTGTTACTGACCTTACATGTGACCTTGAGGTTACCGGTCAAGGTCAATTTCAAATTTTCAAAAATGATTCCCTATTGACCTCGGAATTGAAAAGAGCGGAAAATTTTACGTTCAAAATGACCTCGTAAGGTCATTCTGAGGATATTACCTTTACTACAGTTAAAATTAAATTAATTTTTAAAATCACGTTTAAATTGACAGCTTCTGAGGGACTATTAAACATTTGACCTTGAAATCCAATTATCGTATAAAAAGTAACGTTATACTACCAAGAACGTAGAATTTTAATTTAGTATTAAAAGGAGGGGCTTCTTTTAATACAAATCAATTTGACATTCAAATGACCTTCAGGTTGAATTTAAGGTCAGTACTAATTAACTCCTATTACCTGTAACCTACAAATTTTAAAGAGGTCATTTTTCGCCAGCATCTAAACTGTCGGATATATTTGCGCGGATCGATCAAAATGACCTACCCTGTATAAGAGTGATATAAGAGTCTGCATTATGTAAATATTATTAGGCTCCTTTTTAATTATGATAATCTTTACAGTAACACCTCCAGCTGAGTGTACGAGCGCAAGAAAATATCCTGCCCAAAATTGCAATCAGTATTACGAATGTACGTCATTCCTGTGGTGGTACAATTTAAATTTGTTAAATTGTTCATCTGGGCAAGCCTTCGACAGCGCTCAACTGGAATGTGTCAACAACACAAGTTGCAACGCAGAAACTGGCCAGATTGAAACCACAACTGCACTAACAACAACAACGGAAGCATCAACAACGACAGAAACACCAACAACGACAGATACACCAACAACAGTTGCAGAAGGTAAATTTATTTACAGAATGTAGAGTAGATCTATGCACAAATATGATTTAATAATTTTTACAAGCGCGATCATTAATCCTTACGTCTTTACAGTAACACCTCCAGCTGAGTGTAAGAGCGCAAGAAAATATCCTGCCCAAAATTGCAATCAGTATTACGAATGTACGTCATTCCTGTGGTGGTACAATTTAAATTTGTTAAATTGTTCATCTGGGCAAGCCTTCGACAGCGCTCAACTGGAATGTGTCAACAACACAAGTTGCAACGCAGAAACTGGCCAGATTGAAACCATAACTGCACTAACAACAACAACGGAAGCATCAACAACGACAGAAACACCAACAACGACAGATACACCAACAACAGTTGCAGAAGGTAAATTTATTTACAGAATGTAGAGTAGATCTATGCACAAATATGATTTAATAATTTTTACAAGCGCGATCATTAATCCTTACGTCTTTACAGTAACACCTCCAGCAGAGTGTACAAGCGTTGGTAAATATCCTGCCCAAAATTGCAATCAATATTACGAATGTGTGTCATTCCTCTGGTTCTGGTACAGTTTAAATTTGGTAAATTGTTCATCTGGACAAGCCTTCGACAGCGCTCAACTGGTGTGCGTGAACAACACAAGTTGCAATGCAGAAACAGGTCAGTTTGAAACCACAACTGAACTACCAACAACCACAACGGAAGCATCAACAACGACAGAAACACCAACAGTTGCAGAAGGTAAATTTATTTACAAAATGTAGAGTAGACCTACGCACAAATACATTTAATAATTTTTATCAAATAGTACATAAAATCAAATAATATATAAATAGGCTGTATTATGTAAATATTATTGTGCATCTTTATTAATCCTGATATATCTGTCTTTACAGTAACACCTCCAGCTGAGTGTAAGAGCGCAAGAAAATATCCTGCCCAAAATTGCAATCAGTATTACGAATGTACGTCATTCCTGTGGTGGTACAATTTAAATTTGTTAAATTGTTCATCTGGGCAAGCCTTCGACAGCGCTCAACTGGAATGTGTCAACAACACAAGTTGCAACGCAGAAACTGGCCAGATTGAAACCATAACTGCACTAACAACAACAACGGAAGCATCAACAACGACAGAAACACCAACAACGACAGATACACCAACAACAGTTGCAGAAGGTAAATTTATTTACAGAATGTAGAGTAGATCTATGCACAAATATGATTTAATAATTTTTACAAGCGCGATCATTAATCCTTACGTCTTTACAGTAACACCTCCAGCAGAGTGTACAAGCGTTGGTAAATATCCTGCCCAAAATTGCAATCAATATTACGAATGTGTGTCATTCCTCTGGTTCTGGTACAGTTTAAATTTGGTAAATTGTTCATCTGGACAAGCCTTCGACAGCGCTCAACTGGTGTGCGTGAACAACACAAGTTGCAATGCAGAAACAGGTCAGTTTGAAACCACAACTGAACTACCAACAACCACAACGGAAGCATCAACAACGACAGAAACACCAACAGTTGCAGAAGGTAAATTTATTTACAAAATGTAGAGTAGACCTACGCACAAATACATTTAATAATTTTTATCAAATAGTACATAAAATCAAATAATATATAAATAGGCTGTATTATGTAAATATTATTGTGCATCTTTATTAATCCTGATATATCTGTCTTTACAGTAACACCTCCAGCTGAGTGTACGAGTGCCAGTAAATATCCTGCTCAAAACTGCAATCAGTATTACGAATGTGTGTCAATCCTGTGGTGGTACAATTTGAAATTACTAAACTGTTCGTCTGGACAGGTTTTCAGCAGCACAGAACTAACTTGTATTGATAATACCAGCTGTAGTTCAGAAACGGGTAAATTAGAAACAACAGCTGCTCCAACTATAGCTCCTACTACGACGGAAACTGCTACATCGACAAGTTCCACAGCAACAGAATCAACAACAGAATCAAAAACAGAATCAACGACAGAACTAGTATCTGCCACTGATGAACAAGGTGAGGGATAACAGTGATAGAATATTATTGTTGTAAAGCGCAACCCTATTTTATGAGCAATATTCCAACAAATGACGGATACGTCAGTACAATTTAAAGTAAAACACGTTATTTTTCTAGTCACATCAACAACAGAATGGACAACAGTTTCGACACTATCTTCGACAACAGAATCTACGACTGTTCCAGCGCCACAATCGTCTATATCAGTTTCAACAACGGTAACAACAACGCAGTCGTCGACAGAAGATTCAACAACAGACCCAACAGCGGAATCGACGACAGTTTCAACAACATACTTATCGACAGCAGAATCTACGACTGTTCCAGTAACACAATCATCTACATCCGTTTCACCATCAGTAACAACACTAACATCGATAACAGAATCTACAACTGTTCCAGTAATAAAATCATCTACATCCGTTCCACCAACAGTAACAACACAGTCATCAACAGAACAGTCAACGACAGACCCAACAACGGAATCGACGACAAATTCAATAACACAATATTCGACATCAGAATCCACGATAGTTAAAACAACCCAATCATCTACATCCGTTGCATCATCAGTAACAACACAGTCATCTACAGAAGAGTCAACGATAGACCCAACAACGGAATCAACGACAGGTTCAATAACTCACTCCTCAACATCAGAATCCACGATAGTTCCAACAACCCAGTCACCTACATCTGCTTCAACAACGGTAACAACACAGTCGTCGACAGAAGAGTCAACAACAGACCCAACAACGGAATCGACGACAGATTCGACGACACACTCGTCGACAGCAGAATCTACGACTATTCCAGTAACACAATCATCTACATCCGTTGCACCATCAGTAACAACACAGTCATCGAAAGAAGAGTCAACGATAGACCCAACAACGGAATCGACGACAGTATCAACAACACAATCTTCAACATCAGAATCCACGATAGTTCCAACAACCCAGTCGGCTACATCAGCTTCAACAGAGGTAACAACACAATCGTCGACAGAAGAGTCAACGACAGACTCGACCACGGAATCGACGACAGGTTCAACAAAACAAACTTCAACATCAGAATCCACGATAGTTCCAACAACCCAGTCATCTATAACTGCTTCAACAACGGTAACAACAACACAATCGTCGACAGAAGAGTCAACCACAGACCCAACAACGGAATCGACGACAGTATCAACTACACAATCTTCAACATCAGAATCCACGACAGTTCCAACAACCCAGTCATCTACATCGGCTTCAACAACGATAACAACAACACAATCGCCGTCAGAAGAGTCAACCACAGTCAGTACAATTTAAAGTAAAACACGTTATTTTTCTAGTCACATCAACAACAGAATGGACAACAGTTTCGACACTATCTTCGACAACAGAATCTACGACTGTTCCAGCGCCACAATCGTCTATATCAGTTTCAACAACGGTAACAACAACGCAGTCGTCGACAGAAGATTCAACAACAGACCCAACAGCGGAATCGACGACAGTTTCAACAACATACTTATCGACAGCAGAATCTACGACTGTTCCAGTAACACAATCATCTACATCCGTTTCACCATCAGTAACAACACTAACATCGATAACAGAATCTACAACTGTTCCAGTAATAAAATCATCTACATCCGTTCCACCATCAGTAACAACACAGTCATCAACAGAACAGTCAACGACAGACCCAACAACGGAATCGACGACAAATTCAATAACACAATATTCGACATCAGAATCCACGATAGTTAAAACAACCCAATCATCTACATCCGTTGCATCATCAGTAACAACACAGTCATCTACAGAAGAGTCAACGATAGACCCAACAACGGAATCAACGACAGGTTCAATAACTCACTCCTCAACATCAGAATCCACGATAGTTCCAACAACCCAGTCACCTACATCTGCTTCAACAACGGTAACAACACAGTCGTCGACAGAAGAGTCAACAACAGACCCAACAACGGAATCGACGACAGATTCGACGACACACTCGTCGACAGCAGAATCTACGACTATTCCAGTAACACAATCATCTACATCCGTTGCACCATCAGTAACAACACAGTCATCGAAAGAAGAGTCAACGATAGACCCAACAACGGAATCGACGACAGTATCAACAACACAATCTTCAACATCAGAATCCACGATAGTTCCAACAACCCAGTCGGCTACATCAGCTTCAACAGAGGTAACAACACAATCGTCGACAGAAGAGTCAACGACAGACTCGACCACGGAATCGACGACAGGTTCAACAAAACAAACTTCAACATCAGAATCCACGATAGTTCCAACAACCCAGTCATCTATAACTGCTTCAACAACGGTAACAACAACACAATCGTCGACAGAAGAGTCAACCACAGACCCAACAACGGAATCGACGACAGTATCAACTACACAATCTTCAACATCAGAATCCACGACAGTTCCAACAACCCAGTCATCTACAACTGCTTCAACAACGGTAACAACAACACAATCGTCGACAGACGAGTCAACCACAGACCCAACAACGGAATCCACGACAGTTCCAACAACACAATCTTCAACATCAGAATCCACGACAATTCCAACAACCCAGTCATCTACAACTGCTTCAACAACGGTAACAACAACACAGTCGTCGACAGAAGGGGCAACCACAGACCCAATAACGGAATCGACGACAGTATCAACAACACAATCTTCAACATCAGAATCCACGACAGTTCCAACAACCCAGCCTTCTACATCGGCTTCAACAATGGTAACAACAACACAATCGTCGACAGAAGAGTCAACCAAAGACCCAACAACGGAATCGACGACAGGTTCAACAACGCAATCTTCAGCATCAGAATCCACGACAGTTCCAACAACCCAGTCATCTACATCGGCTTCAACAACGGTAACAACAACACAATCAGAATCCACGACAGTTCCAACAACCCAGTCATCTACATCGGCTTCAACCAGACCCAACAACGGAATCGACGACAGTATCAACAACACAATCTTCAACAGAAGAATTCACGACAATTCCAACAACCCAGTCATCTACATCGGCTTCAACAACGGTAACAACAACACAATCGTCGACAGAAGAGTCAACCACAGACCGAACAACGGAATCGACGACAGTATCAACAACGCAATCTTCAACATCAGAATCCACGATAGTTCCAACAACCCTGTCAACTACATCTGCTTCAACAACGGTAACAACAACACAATCGTCGACAGAAGAGTCAACCACAGACCCAATAACGGAATCGACGACATTATCAACAACACAATCTTTAACATCAGAATCCACGACAGTTCCAACAACGCAGTCATCTACATCTGCTTCAACAACGTTAACAACACAATCGTCGACAGAAGAGTCAACAACAGACCCAACAACGGAATCGACGACAGGTTCAACAACGCAATCTTCAACATCAGAGTCCACGACAGTTCCAACAACCCAGTCATCTACATCGGCTTCAACAACGGTAACAACAACACAATCGTCGACAGAAGAGTCAACCACAGACCCAACAACGGAATCGACGACAGTATCAACAACACAATCTTCAACATCAGAATCTACAACTGTTCCAACAATTCAGTCACCTACATCTGCTTCAACGACGTTAACAACAACACAATCGTCGACAGAAGAGTCAACAACAGACTCAACCACGGAATCGACAATAGGTTCAACAACGCAATCTTCAACATCAGAATCCACGACAGTTCCAACATCCCAGTCATCTACATCTGCTTCAACAACGGTAACAACAACACAATCGTCGACAGAAGTGTCAACCACAGACCCAACAACGGAATCGACGACAGGTTCAACAACGCAATCTTTAACATCAGAATCCACGATAGTTCCAACAACCCAGTCATCTACATCGGCTTCAACAACGGTAACAACAACACAACCCAGTCATCTACATCTGCTTCAACAACGGTAACAACAACACAATCGTCGACAGAAGAGTCAACAACAGACCCAACAACGGAATCGACGATAGGTTCAACAACAACGCTATCTTCAACATCAGAATCCACGATAGTTAAAACAAGACAGTCATCTACATCTGCTTCAACAACGGTAACAACAACACAATCGTCGACAGAAGAGTCAACCACAGACCCAACATCGCAACAACCCAGTCATCTACATCTGCTTCAACAACGTTAACAACAACACAATCGTCGACAGAAGAGTCAACCACAGACTCAACATCGGAATCGACGACAGTATCAACAACACAATCGTCGACAGAAGAATCAGGAGTCAACCACAGACCCCACAACGGAAATGACGACAGGTTCAACAACGCAATCTTCAACATCAGAATCCACGACAGTTCCAACAACCCAGTCATCTACATCTGCTTCAACAACGGTAACAACAACACCGTTGTCGACAGAAGAGTCAACCACAGACCCAACAACGGAATCGACGACAGTATCAACACAATCTAAAACATCAGAATCCACGACAGTTCCAACAACCCAGTCATCTACATCGTCAACCACAGACCCAACAACGGAATCGACGACAGTATCAACAACACAATCTTCAACATCAGAATCCACGACAATTCCAACAACCCAGCCATCTACAACTGCTTCAACAACGGTAACAACAACACAGTCGTCGACAGAAGGGGCAACCACAGACCCAATAACGGAATCGACGACAGTATCAACAAAACAAACTTCAACATCAGAATCCACGACAGTTCCAACAACCCAGTCATCTACGTCGGCTTCAACAACGATAACAACAACACAATCGTCGACAGACGAGTCAACCACAGACCCAACAACGGAATCGACGACAGTATCAACAACACAATCTTCAACATCAGAATCCACGACAGTTCCAACAACCCAGCCTTCTACATCGGCTTCAACAATGGTAACAACAACACAATCGTCGACAGAAGAGTCAACCACAGACCCAACAACGGAATCGACGACAGGTTCTACAACGCAATCTTCAACATCAGAATCCACGATAATTCCAACAACCCAGTCATCTACATCTGCTTCAACAACGGTAACAACACAGTCATCGACAGAAGACTCGATAACAGAGCCAACAACGGAATCGACGACAATATCAACAACACAATCTTCGACATCAGAATCCACGATAGTTCTAACAACCCAATCAACTACATCGCTGTCAACAACGGAATCAACAACACAATCTCCTACATCAAACTCAACAACGCTGTCAGCAACGGCATCGACAACGCATTTATCAACAGAAAAATCGACGACAGTTTCAACACCATCATCGACAACAGAATCTACAACCTCAACAACTACTGAACCAGGCAAGTACAAGTCATGTCTACTTAGTTTCTTTATGTTGGTGGTAAATATGAAATTCATGTTTTTGAATAAATAACTATATTAGAAATCAATAAAATATGTTTTGATATGAATATATTAGTTTTATTAAAATATATTATTTCAGTGACACCTCCAGCAGAATGTACAAGTGCTAGAAAGTATCCTGCACCAAATTGCAACCAGTACTACGAATGTACATCATTCTTATGGTGGTACAATTTGAATTTAAATACTTGTCCAACAGGGCAATCATTTAACGCCGATCAGCTTGTATGTGTTGATGATGCCACTTGTGGTGCTACCACAACTACTACAACGCCAGCTACAGAAACAGGTATGTAGAAGTCGTATCTACTTAGTTTTTCATGTTTCTAGCAAATATTAAATTCACGTTTTTAATTATTTTTATTAAATTAAAAAAAAATATTTCAGTGACACCTCCAGCAGAATGTACAAGTGCTGGAAAATACCCTGCACCAAACTGCAACCAGTACTACGAATGTACATCATTCTTATGGTGGTACAATTTGAATTTAAATACTTGTCCAACAGGGCAATCATTTAACGCCGATCAGCTTGTATGTGTTGATGATGCCACATGTGGCGCTACCACATAACCACTTCAACGTTCACTACAACTACAACACCTACTAAAACCATAACTCCTACTACAACCACGACTCCTATTACAACCACGTCTCCTACTATAAACACAACTTCTACCACAACCACAACTCCCACAACAACTACTACTCCAACAACAACTACTACAACTCCAACAACAACTACAACTGCTACAACTACAATAAAACAAGGTAAGCAGGTTTTATGAAATTATAGTTTCATCAAACTGACCCACATAATTCAGTCGAAAAATGCATGTGTTAAAGTGATTTCATTTCATACTAGTGCTACAGTATTAACCTGGATCGTAAATTCAAAAACTATATACAGAAATGATTAAATCGAAAAATAACCTCTATTTACATGAGAATTAAAATTAGAAAATCGAAAGTATCTTATAAAAATACGATTACTGTTACTGCTTTATTGAAATTTGTATCGTAAATACTACTTTCACCTTTAAAATACGTATTTTATGTATGAAGGAACTCCGCCTACATCATGCGATGGTCCAGGAAAGTATCCGGGTTCAGCATGAATCAGTACTACGAGTGCTTAGAAGTAATGTACTGGTATGAACTAGTGACGCAGAACTGCAATTCTGGAGAATCTTTCGACAATACAACAAAATCATGTGTTACAGACAGCAGCTGCACGACCTGAAAGCAACTAAGCAGTTGCAATAATTTATATATTTGGTATATTATTATATATGTATTAATTGTAATAAAATATTCTTAATCTATATAATCCTGGTTTTATTAAAATATAGTACAAAATATAATGTAGCTGTTCCCTAATTACATAAGCAACGCGTCTTATCTGACTCTGTTAGATAGAAGATGAGGTTGCCCTGCGCCAAAAATGTGACGTCCTTTTAAACGCAAAATTGTTGAGGAAAAATTTTCAACACTAGGTATAATTTGCACATACTTAGTAGCTGAGTTGACTGTCCATATATGATCGTGCTTGTTCGCTGAGCGTATATCAGCGGCACAACATGCAAAAAAACCAATATAATTTCAAAACTAGAAATTTTAAACCCCGCTGAAGTTATAAATAAATTCGAAACAAGAATGTTCAACTTTGGTGTTGTTAGTATTATTTTGCCAAAACGTGGCGATTTGATTGATTCATATGGATTTTCAATATAAACTTCTACAATAAATTCAGGTTTAAAATCAAAAATAAAGAAAACGAATATGACCACCACCTTAGTTCAATATTTAACTATATTTCATGGCAAACAAATAAAAAAGTCAGTTGTTTTGCAAAGACGAAAAATAGAATTCAAAATATACATATGTCAGACCGTTTTTTTTTGCTGCTTTTTATTCTTTCTTCTTTACTTCCATAGATTATTAAAGAGAGTTCCTAATCTATACTCCGCGGTCGAAATTATAAAGAGTGACGAAGACATAATATAAAAACACTATTACCATAATGGGTATAAAATATAAAATGATTTTTATACGGTTCAATATTATTTATCTTTGTGCCGCTCGCTACGCACATCGATAGAATCTATAATCGTCTAGAGACCGAGTTACACTGAACGTCGATCTATATTCTATCTCTGTCTTTTGCACTTGGTAGGGAATAGGGAAATGCTTTTTTAGTGGGTGTAAACGGACTTGATTTAACCCGTCCTGAGAAACGTCATAGCATAAGCGTAGACGAGGGGTCTAATTCCATGGCTATAATAAATTTATAAATTAAAAAAACACAATTGGGACGTTTTAAAATGCTGTAATAATTAAAATGGATCAAAGTGCCTGTTATAGCAAACCGTAAAAAATATTAAATGTTATGTTTTATTATCTTTTTCATTATTTTCTATATCTTGTTGCCTTTTACGCAGACACGCCAATGGATTTTCGTTCCCGGCACGCTTCATCCCCCTTACTAGTCGAAAAGCTAGCGATGTATCACACTCTCTATAATTTCGACCGTGGATTATAAGTTTACTTCCCTTGAAAATAGTCTGGTAACATAAAACATAAAGTTTTTTATCCTAAGGGCCTTTCGATTTAGCTAATAGCAACTTAGTTACTCTGAACAGATATTAGTTGCTAATAGGTACTATTTTTGCCAAAACGAAAGCCCCCCAGTAAGCCTTAAATAGTTTAGTTATTAAATCTTTAAAATTTTTAAATTCTACTTTTTTACGAGTTTGTGACTGAACACGAGTTAATAAATAATTAGTGGACTATACTATTCTCCACTGTACAGGGTGTCCCGAAATTCATGCAACAAAATTTGGTCACAGATTCTTAACATAAATTTAGGGGATACGTATTTTTTATTTTTGCCAAGTGGCCCCCTCTTTCGGAATTACAGCCCCCTGAAGTCCGCCCCTAAGAATAACCTTTTTTTTATATCTCAGAACCCTGTTGTACGAGAAGCACTAAATTTGGTACACAGGAGTTTTATGACATGTGGAATATGATGGTGCTACGTTTCTTGACGGGGAACCCCTTTAAGACAATTTTTCGTGGGCCCCCTTGTCTTTAGAGCCAAAAAAATTTGGTCGCTTATTTAAAATTAATTAAATTTAGAAACTTTTTGTCACTTTATACTTTTTTCGTAAAACGTAACGTTTTCGAGAAAAATATCAAAATGTGATCGAATGCATATCGTGATTCGCCATTTTCCTCAAAAACATTGCGTTTTATGAAACAAATATCAAGAGACAAAAATGTTTCTAAATTCAATGGCTTTCTAGCTAACCTATAATTTTTAATAAAATCAAATTTGCGACCAAATTTTTCTGGTTCCAAAGACAAGGGGGCCCACGAAAAAGTATCTTAAGGGGGTTTCTCACCAAAAAGCGTAGCACTGTGAAATTCCACATGTTATAAAACCCCTGTGTACCAAATTTAGTGAATCTCGTACAACATGGTTTTGAGATATAAAAAATACTTGTTAGGGGCAGATTTCAGGGGGCTGTAACTCCGAAAGAGGGGGCCAGTTGGCAAAAAGAAAAAATACGGGTCCCCTAAATTTATCTTAAGAATCTATGACCAAATTTTATTGCATGAATTTCGGGACACCCTGTATTTACTACTACTATTCTTATTCTTACTCTATCCTGGAGTTAACTTCGAGCATATATACTACTGGAGGCAGCGTCCCAGTGGCCGACAGTGTAGCGGAGGTTGTAGAGAGAGGTATAGGAGGGTATATGCTAGCTCTCTCTAGCAGTACGCGATTGGTTCTGCCGTGAACAGTTCCCACTAAACATTTTTCAGTTTCTGACATGTTCCAGAAACGTTTCCATTTTTCTTGAAACGTTTCATAAAAAATCCATGCAACTTTCTGGTAACCCAAAAGAAACCGAAGATGTCCTCCCCAAAATACGTTTCCAATGAAACGTTTCAAAAAATTGGTTTCAGTAACATTCTTTTGATGTTCCATTTATGCACTCGATATTTTTGTTTTACGTTTCAGTATATTTTCAGAAATGTTTGAGTAACATAATAATTTTTATACCATATTGTTCTCATAATGCTCTCAACTTTAGATAATTTCCATTTCAGAAGCGTTTTTGAAACAGTATAAACAGTGTGAGTAATTTTTTAAATATTTCTAATACTCTTTTGTAATATTTTTATTTGTATTGTGAATGACTTAATTCGTAATCCAGACATTTTTTTCTGACTTCTCAAAAAATTTAACTGAAAAATGTTATTGTATATTTAAAAAAATAACTGCTCTTCTAGTTTAGGGATGCAGCAACTTTTATCAAGAATTTTTTTCTTTTTGAGAAGCCACTGAAAAAGTTTCTAATATGGATTACGGATTCTGCCATTCATCGTACAAATAAAAATGTCACAAAACAATATCAGAAGCATTTTAAAAAAGCTACACATCATTTTATATTGTTCAAATACGCTTCTGAAATGGAAATTTTCTAATGTTGAGACCATCATGAATATGGTAACAATGACGAAATGATAATTAAAAAAAATTAGTTATAATAATGAATCTTGAAATGGTAGGTACATGAAAAACAAATAACATTACTGAAAAATAATATAAAGTTACAATTTCTTCTACGCATAGTCAATATTACATCTAACCTTTTTATAATACATTTTACAGTAGAAATAAATAAGATACAAAAGGATATCTTGAAAAAATAAATATTTGTAGGTATACTTAAACTCTTTTATTTAAGCATTCCTATACACGTACAAAAATATAAACATTTGTACAAAATATAAAATAAATGGCATATATTTCACTTGATTCTTCCGTATTTCAAACAGTTCTCCGAAACGTATAGTTCCATGTTCCATTTTTTTTTTAGTTTTTGTCCTCTTGTTTTTAATAGGTATTAGGTAGTGGGTATAATAACTATGCTTAGGTAGATGTGACGCAAAATTCGAAATCTCTACACATATCGTTTTAAACATTTTGCATCAATATTCATTATTTTATATGCACCTTACAATAACCACAACTGCACACACTATAAATTATCACATAACATAAAATAGCATCAAAGTAACGATCATGGAGACTATTCTCCCTGNCAATGTGTTCTAAGATCTTGACTAGGTTTGCATTGTATATTTAATAAAATAAAACGTGATATTTAGCATATATTAGAAAATCAAATTGAATCTGGTACAGTGAATCACGAAACACTTTAATATGATTGATATGATTTATTTTTATTATTATTTATATATGTGTTAGTTAAGGTAGATAACTCATTATTTTTATGTATATTTGTACATAATGAGTATTTTTATATGAATTTTTGTGAAGATGTATCGATTGTAAATTTCAAAAAATGTTTACTATTTTATATAAATAACACCACTTGTACTCTCTTTTGGATTCCGTTTTATTGTACCCATTTTATTTTACATTCACTATCTAACATTCTCATAAATGACAATTAACAAGTTGTATAATTAGATATACAAAATAATAATTGGTAATTTTGCTCTGTTAATAGTACATCAGTTATTAAATTTCATTTGAAATAATCCGCTAAATTTTCGGGCTTGCGCAAAATTGACAAAGTGCAACATGTACACTTTTTATCCCCTCTTTTTGGGAACAAGGTCATTCAATGTAAAAGATATGCAGTGCTCGGTATATGTATAGAAGTATGTGCTCGTACCATAGCACAGGTCGTGTGAATACGCATATCTATATTTTTTTATTAATGTGACCGGATAGTGAAAATAAGGTGTTTATTTATATTTTCAATTATAATTAGGTCAACTTTATTATTTTTGTCACTCTCCATTTTGTTTTATAAACCGTTATTTTATAT